TTACTTTCTCCCCTCCTCCCCCCTCCGCCCCCCTCTCCCTTCCTTTTTTTCTCTTTCTTCCTCCTACTCTCCTACTTTAATTCTCGGTGGACGTGGAAGAGCTAACAACTCTTCTCGGTGTATCTGTACATCTTGGACGGTCACCTTACTCGCTCGGTTCCTAATCGATTTTCCCATTACGCGAATCCGGGGAGTGCTTCGCACACACTCGCTTCGTTTTCCGTCGTTTCGTGTCCAGCCTGCATTTCCGTCTCACGAACAAACGGTCTCGATTCCCTTTCTCTCTCCCCCCCCTCCCCCGTTCCATCTTCTTCCATTCCATCTTCTTCCTCCTCTACCTCCCTTCCCTTTCCCTTTCCTTTCCCACTTCTTTAAGCACATCCACGCGCCACCCCCGTGTTTTCTATCCGTGTTTTCTTTCCTTCGTCTCTCCCCCCTCCCCTCCTCTCGATGCTCTCGCAACGTCCGCGCGGACTTACGCGTCGATTTCGGAATCGGCGCATAATCGCCATTTCGCCAATCGTGCGTTCCACAAACAACCGATGCCGTTTCGAACCGTTTCGTACCGGTTACGAATCGGTCGGGATCGCCGCAAGATCCCATCGTCAAACAACGTGCTCCCCGCGAATGGGGGACACGTCGCGGTTCGAGACACGCTATTCTCGTCCGATCGATAAGATTTTATGGTCGATGGCCAATTTGTTGGGATAATAGGAATTGGACGGGGGAAGGAAGGGGAAAAGGAGGGGGGGGGGGAAGTTCGATTCGAAAGCAGGCCCAATTTTTTCTTCGTCTCGTCTCGTCTCATTCGTGGATAATCGCGTCAACGATCGTTGGAGGAAGAACGTACGACGAATAGAGTAGAATAGAATGGAATAGGATGGAACAAAATAGCGGGAGATACGTGTTGTCCTCGCGAGCGAGAGAATTAGAAAAGTAGATAGGAATAGGATAGTCCGATGAGACCGAGTGGCGTTCGGTTGGCCACGATCGGGGGTCGAGGCGCGTAACGTAACGCAACGTCGAAGTAAGTATTTTTTTTCGTGGCGCGGAAGAAACTCGATGACGAAGAGGGAGGAGGAGGAGGAGGAGGAGGAGGAGGATAGAGAGAAGAGAGGGTGGCGGCAAGAGGGGTAGCACTGGTTCGGGAAGAGCAGTCAGGGGCGGTCGTCGAGAAGGAGGATGAGGACCGAGGATGAGGACCGAGGATGAGGATGAGGAGGTGGAGATGGAGAAGAAGTGGGGGCGATGGTGCACTCGGTTTTTTCTCCGCTCGGGGGAGGGGGGAGGCAATGGGCGCGAGGCAAGGGTGCGTTGGATTCGGTTACTTGGTCTCACCCCTTGGACCACCTCCACCGGCGGTTCTAGCGGCAGCAGCAACAGCGGCGACGGTGGCGGCGGCGGCAGTCGTGCACACTCTCTCTCTCTCTCTCTCTCTGTCCCTCTCCCTCTCTCCTTCTTCCTCCCTCTCCCTCTCCCTCTCTCTCTCTTTCTTCCTCCTTTTTCTCCTTTCTTTCCCGCTCGCGCTCTCAATCCCTCTCTCGCTCGCTTTCGTTCTCCTCCTCCTCCTCTCTCTCTCTCTCTCTCTCTCTCTTCCCATCTTGTCTCCGTCTCTGTTCCACGCGCCTCAGCACGGTGCTTCTCGTTTTTTTTAACGAAGGATCCGCTCAATACCTCGGCTGTCATAACCTCCCGGCACCCTTCCAGGGTGGCCCGGCTGCCACGGCAAACCCACCCTCAACCCTCCGCCTTACGCCTCCACGGGGCCCACCGACCCTCCCGACCGACGAGCCACCACCTAGCACCCCCCGCGCTCTCATTCCTCTTCCCAGTTTTTAACGTTTCGTTCGACGTTTCCCTCCGGGCGAGAGCCAGGGACGGCGTAAAGGGGGGAAGTGCATTTCGTCGTTACTTTGTTTTACGTCCTTCCTCCTCCTCTTCCTCCTCCTCCTCCTCCTTTCTTTCCTCTTCTCCTTCTTCCATTCTTCCCTTCCTCCCCGACCCTCTCTCGCGCACACACACGCACACACGTCCTTTCTCTTCTTTCCCTTACTCTCCCTTACTCTCGTCTCTTCCTTTTCCTCCGGTCCACTACTGTCTCCCCTCCCCCCCCCTGTCACACACACGCACACACGCACACACTATTAATGGCCGCTACCCTTCGGGCCACACACGCACGGTCCGCTCGGAGAAGGTCCTCCTCCTTCTCCCCCTTCGGTTTCGCACCCCCGTTTTTTTCGTGCACCTTCGCCATACCTCGCCTCCCCCGTTATTTAAAAGCCCACCTGCGCTCTTTGAATGTGGAAAGAACGGCCGCGAACGAACGCTCTTCCTTCCCACCACCGTCGTCGGATTACCACGTCGTACTTTCAATTTGACCGAACACCGTGGAAGGACGATGCGCGAGAGCGTGAAAAATTCTTTTTTAGCCGGAGCAGCAGCGCTGACTTTTTACGGAAAAAGAAACAATTAATGCGCGAGCGAGAGATTCTGGTCCGGTTGTTTCAGGTGGGTAGAGGGTGACACAATTGACCACGAAACCCCTCGTTGCGCTCGACCTCTTTTGATCGAATCTCCCAACGATGAACGCATGGTCGACCGCACCCCCAAAATCGCGTTCGCCTTTCCAAAGATTTTTTAGAATTCTCCCGTAAACCCTCGAAATCGTGCGCCAAGAGGGAAGGCTACGGGGGAAGACACCTTTTCGCTCTTCTCCTTCTATCTTTTTCTTCCAGATTTTTCAACCGGATAAAATTCGAATTCCTATTTTTTTTTTTTTAGATTTTTTTTTATTTTTTTTTTTGAGAGAGAGAGAGAGAGAGAGAGAGAAATATATTCACGAATCTTTTTGGAAGAAAAAAAATTGTGCAATAAAACAGAGCCATACCAAATCGAGAGATTAACAAACAACGTTGGACACGTGGAAATTTTATTACATCCGTACGCCTTTCTCTCTATTAAACTGCCCTCTATTTAATAGAATTCTTATTTCACTTGCTCGAGCAAACGATGAACCACGAATCCACTGCGTATCTTCTTCGCGCGTCATCGTTCCTTATTTATATATATACGTATTTCCAGTCGAGGCTAATTGGCGAGGGGGGGGATTAAAGCGGTTATCAATTTCGCGGCATCAAAGAGGAGGAGAGGCGCGTAAACGCGACGACAAAGGGGAGGGAATCGAGAAACGTTTCGAGGGAAATTGTATGGAATACTGGAAGCGATACTGCTCCTCGTGGCCGGTGAGAACGCTTAAATCCTGTTTGGAGGCTCTCGAGAATCCTGTGTTAGAAGTACCAGCACGACATGGTTCTCGGGGAAGCAACAGTTCGTTCCGCACCCCCTCCTCCCGCTCCACCCGCCGCTTCCACCCTCTGGTATCCTCCTTTTGCTACCCTAAACCGTTGCCACCAAAGCACACAGTTACCTCCTCCCCTCCCCTCCTCCATCCACGTCTTTCCTCGTCCTCTCTCTCTCTCCCTCTCTCTTTGCACGCTTCCATGACTATACTTTGGACGTCTACTACTAAATTTAGGCTTCTCTCTCTCTCTCTCTCTCTTTCTCACACACGCTCCTCCTTCGATCCCGCCGACACCTTTTTTTCTCGTTCTCTCCGCCACGGAACACGCTTTGGACACCTTCGCAGCCGACTCTTGCCGTAAAAGGGATACAACTCCTAACACTCGAGACGCCATTTTCCTCTCCCCTGTGCGAAACGAGCGAACGAGCGAGATTTGGCCCGAGTAATAAATATCGTATCGAATCCTTCCTTCGAGGTGTA